GTCCTAATCCTCTCGTAATATAGCAGTTGAGTACATATTGTTGGAGTATAAGTAATGAATCAACATCTGTTTCAAGCTTTTATTTTGAAAAATAGAAACGGAAACCAGACAAACCGGAAGTTYGTAGTTTATCAGCAGCTGACCAAAACATTTGATTTTCACTGAAGCCCACGGTGAAAGGGGAAAGTAGCAGTGCAGACAGCAAGAGTACAAGTGAGTCACGAGTTTAAACCGCGTTCTTAGCTTCGTTACAACAAGAAAACAAGAAGTATTTTCATAAAAATACGATAAACTTTGAAACTGCCCTTTGCTAAGTGCTGTTATCGCTCGCCGGTGTTACCAGTCTGTTGGTCTCATCAGCGCCAGTCACTCGAGGAAGTTAATTTTTTTCCTGACCTTTTAAAAAAATCGGACAACACATGAGAAGTTTTAACTTGGAGGGKTGCGAAATAATAGTTTCCTGCAGATGCCTCGTCAGGAGAACACCAAGGGAAGAGGGACAAAAAGGTAAAAATGAATGTGGTTTGATAATTAGAACTGAAAACTTAACAATCATGTTATTCTTGTGATTTTTATTTTATTTTATTGTTCTTAGATTTCTAGTATTGCAAAAACTTGCATCATGCTCGGAAAAAAGAATGAATGTTTCAACATACTTCTGTTTTGTTTTGTGTTTTTAACTCAGACCAAAACTAGACTGGAGGTTTGTCCAGAGGTTCTGCAGCATCCAGAGGGTCCTGTTTCCATCATGGACCAGTCAAAGTGTCCTGATGTTCGGGACGCTGCTAGGTGTAACCCTAACAGGTAAAAAAAAAAAAAAAAAGCTGCAGTTGCTAAATGTTTTGCAATAAGGAAGTTGTTACAATTTTCTCGACAAAAGGGAACAAATGAAAATAATCAGGTCAAACTGGCTTTAAAATGCTTTGTAAAGCTGCAGCTCTTTGAGACCTTTAACTCATGTCTCAGTGTTGTTTTACGAGTCTGTCTTTGAAAAATGCAACTTTTTTTTTTTTTGCCATCAGAGCAGCTGATCATTTACCAGGTGGGTGTCCTCCCCAGTCACTTCTACAACGTGCTCGCAGACAAAGATTACCCCGGCTTCAGGAGTCTGGTGGGAGCGGCCATGGTGCTCATTTTGCTGAACTCCTCAGTAAGTTGATGTGACAGCAAGTCACACAGGATAAAGATCTTTTGATGGATTCCATTGTTTCACCCCAGAATTYGCCCGCAGTCAGCTGTTTGTTCCTTTGATCCCTTTTCTTTGTCGACAGCTTTTGATCGGTTTAAAGTCTACAGCCGACACAGCCGTCTAGCTTTATGGCAGTCAGTTTTAGACAATAAGTACTGTACCTAAAACATGGCATTTGTCTATAAAAACTTTACAAGGTCAGCTTGACATGTTTGTTTTGTACTTTTACACACTTCATCAAAGATTGTGTTTCTTTAAATTTTCTGGTCATTTTGGATCACAGCATAAAATGCACACAGTTTCGATGTTTTTGTGTTGTTGTTGTTGTCACAGCTGAAGAGTCTGGACCAGTACATTTGCAACCAGATGTATGTGAGCTGGAGGAGGACGCTGACTGAGGACCTCCACTCGGCCTACTTCCAGGGCAGAGTCTATTACATCCTCAATGTGCTCCGAGAGGACATCGATAACCCGTGAGCAGTTTATTGTGTTAGCATTATTCAAATGATAATGAAGGAAATTTTGTGACTAATTAACTGAATTTTAGATCAGTGTTAAATTTTACACTTTGTGATCAAGCTGCAGTCTTATGCTTTAAATGGAGTCTCTTTGAATGTGTCCCACTCTCTTAACGTCGACAAAGCTTGTTTTAAGATTCCAATGTCTGACGTCATAGACTTGAATATAGATCATTAGACTGAGCCCCGCCCATCCCGTCCACTGGTAGTGTCTGTGACAGCATGGAGGATCAGAAACAGACCAAACAGGGCAACAGTTCACAGCCTCCATAG